CGAAGAGGTTCAAATTCAGCAGGGCTCTTGCAGAGTACCAAATACATATTTGTCCCTAAGGCAAATTTTCTTGCTCCTTGCACGTGCCGGCTGAATCAGTATGTGCCAATGTGCCGCATTTCACTTGCATATTTCTCTGACAAGATAGCATGCAATTTGCTTGTCAAATGGGATGCTATCTATCAATCCTTTGATTGGATGTAAGAATCCCTTCATTTTTGGAGCATCCTTCCAGTTTGTATTACCTTCCCGTCCTCTAAAAACAAATCTGAAATTTCTTGATTTCTCAACTATAGGAAGTACTGATTGAGCACTTATGCACTTGTTTGCATGCACAGCATTTAATTCCCGTTGCCTTGTGTTCTTCTCAGCTTTAACCTTACTTGCACAGCTATTGCGACATCTGCCTGGCTTTGACGATGCCCTTTCACATATTTCTGTTGTGATTATTCCACCTCACCCCCTAAAACAAACACTTTCTTTTGCCATTTCATTTAGAAACCCTTTATTTCACTTGGAAATCTTTATTTGCACATAGGGCTGCAGTCAGTGGAAGCCTCTGGGATCACATACCAAAACCAGGGACTTGTTGGGTGGCATTTTAATAGAAGTCAGATTTGTTTAGAGGGATTTATTGGCTAAAGAAAGCCTAATTCATCTTATGGTACAGTGGTAGCTTCAGAAAGCACAATATGCTGCAATGCCAGCTTTGCATATGTTTGGTGAATTTGGGGGAATATTGACATATCTATATTTTGGGTGGCACATTAAAATTCAAAGTGAACCATTTTTCTCCCCAATCCCTAATCACAGTCCACGAGAGGCACAAGGGGCTTAATGTTAGAATAAACATGGGGACACATTTGTAAGAAATTGATCTCTTAGTGTGGTATCACCTGCACTTTGGAACTCCCTGTCTATTGATATCAGGAAAGCACCTTCACTGTAGTCTTCTTGGCACATGTTAAAAACATTTTTTGTCTAGACAGGCCTACCCAGGTATCTAGAATGCCGATGTGTTTTTAACTTACTGTCAACATTAATTTTTCTGAATGCTTTAATTGTTGTTGTTTTTTTGTAAACTGCTTTGCGGTTGTTGGTTTTCTTTTACAATCAAGCAGTATATAAATAATAAAATAGGAAAAAAAGAAGGAAAGGAGGGAAGATGTCATCTGAACCAGTGTCTGGTACTGTGTCTATGCCTGCATTCACATGTGGGGTTTATTTTGTGGTGGTGGTGGTGATAACAACAACAACAACAACTTATTTATACCCCGCCCATCTGGCTGGGTTTCCCCAGCTCCCAACAGAATATTAAAACCACGATAAAACATCAAACATTAAAAACTTCCCTAAACAGGGCTGCCTTCAGATGTCTTCTGTAAGCCATATAGTTGTTTATTTCCTTGACATCTGATGGGAGGGCATTTCACAGGGCGGGCACCACTACCGAGAAGGCCCTCTGCCTGGTTTCCTGTAGTTTCACTTCTCGCAGGGAGGGAACTGGTTATAAGGTTAGTGGTTCTATCTCATTTTCTAATGTTCCCTTCATGATGCACACAGCCATTCCATCAAATCTCAACCATCATCATCATCATCATCATTTTTTATTTGTATACTGTCTTTCTATCTTACAATACTCAAGGCAGTTTACAAGCTGAAGAAACAAAAAATGTACATCTTATAACAATCTAACGCAATACAAAAATGTGATAATAAAACAAAACTTTAAAATAAGCAACCTGCATCAAAGAAAGTAACATTCAACAATTATTAGAATAGTACAAAATAATAATATCAACTTATAAAAGTTAAAGAGAAATCCACTCAACAGTTACAATAAATAATTTCTAAACTATAATCAATAAAACAACGACAAGCCACAGTACATAAAATATTACAATACAGATTGAGAAGCAGAGACTAAAGGGTGGGGCAAGGCAAGGAAAGAGGCCTTGCCTGACGAAGGCTCTCCCCTCAAAGTTCTTCCTCCAGGACCAGCTTCCTTATGAGGAGTCCCAGGGCCAGGGGGTGGGGCAAGGGGGTGGGAAAGAGGCCTTGCCTAATGGAGTCTCTCCCCTCTCCCCTCACAGTTCTTCCCCCAGGACCACGATACCACCAGGTTGCAGCAAATGTTATCCACACATGTCATTCCTCCATGTCATCCCTCCTGTCTTTTTACATTCTGCCATTGTTCTAGGCTTTACCTTTTTGGCGTGACTTTCTATGCTGAAATACCACCATGACTTCTCATCAGGAAGAAGAAGAAGAAGAAGAAGAAGAAGAAGAGGAAGAAGAAGTGCGAGCCTTGAAATGGAAAGGGAGCACAATGCACACTGTTAGGGCTTGTCATGTGAGCTGCTGTGGCCCAAAGCTCTGAAAAAGTCAGGAAAATTGCCACACAAAACTCCCATGCTTTTCCAGGCTGAGAGGGTGCCAAATGGATTTGTTTCTTCCAGAATCAAATAACATAGAAATGAGTGTTAAACATGCAGTATATTCAACTGGTTTTCCAGAAGTGGCTTTTACGTTGTGTAAAAGCTCAAATATAATGTGCAAAATAACAGCTAAGGAAACGTCAGGAAAACAGAATAAGCTGCCGCATGAGTACAGCCCATATCTCTGTCATGTGACCTGATGGTACTGGTGAGTAGCTGCCGACCCCTGATTTAGGCAACAGCATTTCTGGTCATTGGTGATAAGCAGAGCCTGGTGGTGGTGGTAGGAAGCTCCTACGAATCTGAGAGACACGATGCAAAATGTCTCAGATCAGTGAGTCAGCAGGAATGGGTGGGCACAATGTAGGATTAAACAGAAAAAGATTGCCAGCATCTATTCATTCATCAGTCTATCTGTGCACCACTCATTCAAAAAGTCCATGTGACAGCAAAGCAAGTTAAGACATATAATGCTAAACAAAACTGCAGACATTGAAATTACAGAAACAAACAAACTCAGTAATATACTTAATCAGAGCAGCAGCCACAGCAAAATCAGCCAAATGAGGACTTTAAGAGCCTTTCTGCAGGCTGGCTAAATATGCCTCTTTGGCTTCCTTAATAAGAGAACTACCCAAAAATAGCTATAAGCGTCGCTGTCATAAATGTCATCTTGGAAGGTTGTGGTACAGAGAGCAGTGCTGCACCATAAGAACTAAAAAAAAAAACAAAAACCAAGGTTAAGAGACTTATAGGGACATGGGTGGCACTGTGGTCTAAACCACTGAACCTAGGGCTTGCCGATCGGAAGGTCAGTGGTTCGAATCCTTGCCACGGGGTGAGCTCCTGTTGCTCGGTCCCAACTCCTGCCAACCTAGCAGTTCAAAAGCATGCCAAAAAGTGCAAGTAGATAAATAGGTACTGCTCCGGTGGGAAGGTAAATGGTGTTTCTGTGCGCTGCTCTGGTTTCACCAGAAGCAGCTTAGTCATGCTGGCCACATGACCCGCAAAAACTGTCGGCGGACAAACGTCGGCTCCCTCGGCCAGTAAAGCGAGATGAGCACCGCAACCCCACAGTCATTTACAACTGGACTTAACTGTCAGGGGTCCTTTACCTTTACCTTTAAGAGACATATGGAATAAGGAGTTCCTTCAGATCCCCGCGGCGGGGTGAGCTCCTGTCGTTCGGTCCCAGCTCCTGCCCACCTAGCAGTTCGACCACTTTCTAGCGGGAAGGTAAATGGTGTTTCCGTGTGCTCGCCAGATGCAGCTTCGTCACGCTGGCCACATGACCCGGAAGTGTCTTCGGACAGCTCCCGGCCTCTTGAGCGAGATGAGCGCGCAACCCTAGAGTCGGTCACGACTGGCCCTGACAGGCAGGGGTACCTTTACCTTTACCTTTTTCAGATGCCCTGCAGCCAAACATTGCATTTATTTATTTCTAAAAGCCAGGGTGAATAGCAGGGCTTGGCATTGACTCTTTGTGCATCCTCTATTAAAAGGCAAAACAGATTATTTGGAGAATGTTCCCATGTTTCTGAGTTAAATTACACCATTAGGATGATACAGGTGGATTGCAGGCATCTTAAGCTTCTGAATGACTTTGTGGCTTTGTTTGTCCAAGAAGCGCCTTCCCTCCTACCAACCAAGAAATGGAACCAAGGTAACTGGGAACAACACCCAGGGCTCAAGATGCAAGTGGGTGAAGTGGGGACTGTTACTTTTTGACTGGCAGGTCTAGCTTTTTGTTGACAGTAAACTATTCTTCCAGGGCACTTCAACCACTGTGATTTAGAGGAGGGAGTAAAAACTGTTTGTTTTCCATGTAGATCTGTGGTTTCTGCTATGTATGTCAGTAGATGGAGCACCACTATAACCCTCAAAACCAATGGGGAGCCAGAATCTCACCCCCACCAATGACCCTTGGAGTAACAGGGTCTTTTTCTGCACCATCATTTTCCCTCTACAAAACAAAACAAATATTTATCTCTCCCAGTGAGGCTGTATTCCCACACCAAAAAAACCCACGAAGGGGCAGCTGCTAACCTCTCCATAAATGATTCTTGGTGGATACAGGTCCTTGCTAGGGGTGACAATTTCTCCACCCCAGTCTTTCTTGTGGCTCCATGCTCTTCTCCCACCGCCTATAATCTTTATTGCACACATCCCAATGGTAAATTCTTCTATTTTGGGAGTAGCACTGTAGATATTTAAAATAAAAATAAAAATGGGGGGGCACATCTCCTCAGAAGGGGTCACCATGCCTTCAAATTGCACCCAATTCTGGTAGAAAATGAAAAATTTATTGATTTGTGTGTGTGTGTGTGTGTGTGTGTGTTTTAAATCAAATGTTAAAGGAATCCTCCACAAATTTCCTCAATGTATCTGCCTACAAATTCCATCCACTTTGGCCAAAGGGGGTGTGTGCGTAGCTGTTTTTACATTCCCTATTATAGTGAATGGGAAACTTTTAAAAATAAAGTAAAATGCACAAACACAAACACTGATAGAAGGCGAATATTTGGGCCTGTGTCTACCTCTATTTGCTGTCAAAAACTGCAAGGATATTTCTCTTCAGTGGTAGAACATCTGCTTTGCATGCAGAAGAATCTAGGTTCAGCCCCTGGTATCTCCAGGGAGAATTGCAAGACAGCCCTGTCTGAAAACCTGAAGATCAGCTGCCAGTCAGTGCTAGATGGACTTATTGTTTGACTTAGTATAAAACAGTTTTCTATGTTCCTAATTTCAGCTTGTGCTGCTGAAATTAGCCAAGATGGCCCTTCCATTCCTCCACCTGGTTAGTAAAATGGGAGGATTCATAGTTTGGCTTTCCCTTATCTCGGATCTTTAAATAGCTCTCCCCACATGATGCATGCTTGTTTTGGGGTGACCAGTGCAACCACAAGACCCTGCCTGAGGGCAACTGTGATTTTACAAAGAGGGGAAGAGGTTCATCCCACAGTAGGGTTCAAATTTGTCATCTTTTTTCAGCTGGTGATGCCGGTGATTGTCCCCAACGCATAAACTCTCTTATGTGTACATCCTTTCAAAGGCCGCAGAGCTGAGGTGAAGAAACAAATGGCTGCTGGTAGTCTATTTATAGCAAAATAACAGGGCCCTGGATTTAAATTATAGTGGGAGTAAATGTGATTGATTAAGGCGTGTTGTCCTTTCAAAATGAAAGCCCAGGCAGACGGGAACTTCAACAGCAAAGTGGAACTGGTTGTCATTAGGATTAATGCTAAATGATCATTCACAACGGCCTTATCTTGCGCTATGCTTTTTATTTTTAAGTAGAATTTTAATAATGGAGGCTTTATTGTGTATTACAGTGATAAGATCCTGTCAGCATTTACTTGGGCTGGTTAATTTACAAGAGTTCATTTTCAATGCAGCTCCAGTGTTCGAAAACTTGCCGGAATGGATTGATAATCTTGTTTCTGGGATTCTTCCCCTTCTTTCGTAAATTGATCTACACTTCCTTCCATTCCCCGCTCCTGATTTACTGTTTGTAATTAGGCAATTGCAGAGGGAAAGAAGGCTGGGGAAGGTTTTGGCTGAGTTGCATTTGTCAGAGTGGGGTGCATTCTTTGGGTTGGGTTTTTTGTTGCTATTGGGTGATATACTTTTATAGATCTGCTGCTCTATGAAACAAAATGATTCATATTACTTTTGCTTGAGCATGAGCACTTTTGTACACATAATTTGGCCAGAGAATGGCATTGCAAAATTAAGAGAAGTATGAGTTTTGAAAGATGTCTTCATTTCAGTTTGCACATCATTTTGGAAAGTGTGAATTAGAGAGGTTTGCTTTTAATGTGAACTCAGTTTAATGCCTTTCCCATCCGTGCTTCCAAGTAGATATTTTTGGATTGTACTATGCATTGTGTTGGGCAGCCCAATTCAATCTGGTACCCTCCAGATGTTGTTGGACTTCCTCTCCCATCACTTCACCCAGCATTGATGAGGCACATCTTGAGGGTACCTGGTTAGGGAAGGTTGGCTTGTGCTGGCCTATGCTCATATGTGGGGCAGTCATACACAAACCCAAGGACACCTAGTATCTTTGACATACAATTAGCTTCAAAATCAAGTAGGGATATGAACTCTTGACTCCCTAGTCCTTGTCCGTCCCTCTAATCCAGGTGTAAGGAACTTATGACCTTCCTGGTCTTGGTGGACTCCAGTTCCCCTTGACTATAGGACATGATAGTCACTGAGTTGACGAGAGTTGGAGTCCATCAGCATCTTGAAGGTCACAGGTTCCCCATCCTGCTCTAACCACTCCCTGCTATTTTATACTCATTCAAAACTTGCTTACCTTTGCAGTGGGCTCTTTTAATGCTTCAGTTTCAGGGGAGGTTAGCTGCCAACAACAGCAGAAGTGTTAAAGCTTTCTTAGTGTTTCTGTGAATGCTCCCAATTTTCCAAGTCTCCCTCTTCCTCTCTCCATGTTGTAGGTCTTTGAATTGACTGTACGAATTAACTTTGGCCCAAAACATGTTGCTAGCAGAGGGCGAGAAGGTGGCTTGTCCCATTCCATGGACGGAAACTGACCATTTGCTGGTGGATCTAATTTCAGCACTTATTTATGGGTTTCCCCACAGGTATCTGGTTGGTTACTGCAAGAGCAGGATGCTGGACAAGATGGGTCATCAGCCTGATCCAGCAGGGCTCTTCTTGTGTTCTTACTGTCAATGGGACAGCATTCTCTATTACACCTGAGCATGGTATGCTAGCTTAGGGGTGTAGCGTAGACTGCATGGTCCTGTGGGCCCATGCCTTGCTACTTTCCCCACCCCTTGCCTTCTATTGCATGAGGAAGCCATGTCACTCAGACCACTCAGGGCCAGTCCTGTCCTTCAGAATGATGCTGAAGGACAACATTTGTAAAAAAGTGTGTATGTGTGTTGTTACTTAACTAAAGAAATATTTTGCCAGATTGCAAGAGACTGTAGTGATGATGTGTGGTATTTTCCATGTGACAAATAAACATTTTTCATGCACCCAATATAAAAAAATATTTATTGTTTTTCATGAGATAGGGCAGATTAAGGGGTTATTCATTATGTTGACTGGGCTACAAAACATTGGCTTGTTCTCTGGCTTCTTTTCTTTTTTAAAGGGTTCCCAGGCTGTTATCGATCTCTGTTCAGCCAACTCCTTCCCACTGAGATTCCTCAGAATTTGAGGACTTCCGGGGTGGCGCCATCGGCAATGGCGGACTCCCTCTGAACTGGAGGGACTAGCTCCGCGGGAAACGGGTCTTCTCCGCTACGGCGAAGCGGGGACCCTTTCAAAAATCACAGGCGGATGAAGCCTGTGACCATGGGACTCGGCGGGCACCTTTAGCGCCCCCCCCAACTCGCTAAGGAACCCACTAACGGGCTCCGAAGTGAAGAGGGGGAAGTGGCGCGGTGCTGTGAGTCAACTGCTATTTCCGTGGAGCGAAGCCGCATAGCCGTTGCCGGAGAGCGCTGCCTTTTCCTGGGACAATTTGGACTCTAAAATAAGCACCCGTGAGTACTTAGACTTTGAACAACTGGACATTAGATGGGGACTTGCGAGCAGAAAGGAATTGGATCTTAAAAATCTATTTCAATTTGGTACGGAACGGGAAGGTCTAAACAGGAAGTCAGCCTTCCGTTCTTCTGTAGACAGAATAAAGCAAAGACAACGTAAACTAGAGCTCAGAAAATCGCTTTTAAAGGATTGGATTTCATCATTTAAAATTGTGGAACTCCCCTTCGACAGCAGGAGAAGGGGGATCTTTTTTGGACTGTTTAAAGTGAGTTTAAAGTGAAGCAACTTTCCTCCGTCCTGATCCTGGAGCGGGGTGTCAGGACTGACGTTTGAAGTTCATTGACCAGAGAGAAACGTTTTTGACAGATAGCTAAAAGAGAAACATAGTAATTCCACTGTTTCCCTTCGCATTTCAAAGGAACAAATATTGACAAAGTATCTCAAAAAGGGAAACTTTGTTGCAAGATCAAATAGAAGTTTTCCCCCTAGAGGGAGACTGTGAAACTGTAACCAACTCCAGGGAGCCGGCAGCTGTTTACAGATTACAATCGTGGGAATAGGCATTTGACCTTGCAGGACAATGTATTCAGAAGCTTTGTTGTGTGCTTTCTACAAAACAAATGCCCTACTGGAACAGTTACATGAGAAGGTGAATTTGATGACGACTTCGACTAGAAATTTTGAACAGGCAGTGGGAAATTTTGAACAGACAGTGGGAAAATATGTGGAGCCCACCCAGGAATTAAATCAGGAGTGTGTCCTGACAGAACAGGCCCAACAGGAATATGAGTTTTCGGATTTGACAAATGAACTTGGAAAAAGCCAGATTTGGAAAGAAAAAGTTTGGTTTGGCTTGGAAATGGGGGGCTGGATTGACCCCCCTATGCTGGGATGTTTGGACTTTTCAAATCTGGCAATGGGCCGTGAGATGTTTGGGATGGTGGGGGCTCTTAATTTTGGAGGGTCTTTGAAACATGCTTTTAAATACCATATGGAATTCAGTGCTGAATATGGAAAAGGGGCTGATCTGTCGAGAAGGGTTAAAAATATTGCCAAGCTGGAGTTACCACGAGCAGGAGACAAGGGAAAATACAGTTACAGATATGAAGAAGAGCTGCGAAAGGGACATGGAAGAGACTTGAGGGCCTCGGATATAAGGTTGCCAGGTTAATGGGCCAGATCGATGGGATAATAAGGACTGACAAAACCTGGAACCAGGAGGAAGGGATGTTGGATGAAGATTGGATCTGTTTGTATTTCTTTTTTCTACCATTAGAACAGTTTTATAAAATTGATGAATGTCAGAAAAATGTTGGAATGAAATTACTCGGCTTTAGTAAAGATGTTTAAAGAATTATGAAAGAATATTATGGTTATGAGAAGTTGGTAAGGATAAGATTTAAGTTTTAAGCTTTAAGGTTTATTTTCTTATAGAAAGATAAGATTAAAACTGTTTAGGGTAATGTAATGACAGAATATTATGAAATATGGAAAGGATTTGCTGGGATAATTAGTAACTAGGATACAAAGAAAGGGAGGAGGAGGAGGTCAAAGAAAGAAGGTAATGGCAGTTGAGGATTCGAGAATAATGAATTTGTTTTTAAATGTTCTTAAATTGTATTTTTGTTTTTTGTTTTGTGTCCTTTTTTCTTATTTTTTTGAATTTGTATTTGTATGGTTGGAAGGGGTTTGTTTTTTTTCTTTTTCTACTTTGTTAACTATTTTTATTTTGTATTTTCTTCTGCTTTTATTCTATGTTGTAACACTTTGAAAATTTCAATAAATATTTTATGAGAAAAAGAGATTCCTCAGAATTTGCAGTGGCATCGATGACAGCAGAAATTGGGCTTACGAGAAACCGATTGTGGCTGAGCACCACATTATAAGCTAGGTACAAGGTACCAACTCTTGACTTAAGCACTGTGTATGTGTGTATCTGGGACATGTTAACCTACTTTTCAGCCCAGAAGGCTCCCAGAGTGGCTAGGACGAAATGAATTTGTTTACAGATTTTGAGGGTCCTCTTCAATCCAGCTCTGTCACTGGAGGCAAAGGTGCCCTTGGTGGCTTGGGTGCCTTTTACCAGCATCAGTTGGTAAGACAATGGCAGCC